AAGGTACAATTCCCAACGAGAAATGTAATTGTGTTGTGTACCTAAAATGTACCAATAAAAGAATTTAACAAAAAAAAGAAAAAGAAATAAAAGGTAAGAAAATCAGGAGGAAGATATTGTAGATGATATCTTCTTCTGTATAAAGGATCCCACAGACTCCACCAAGAAACTGTTAGAACTAATATATTAATTCAGTGGAGTGGTAGGATACAAAATTCACATGCAAAGATCAGTTGCATTTTTATATCCTAACAACAAAATGTTCAAAAAAAGAAATTAATAAATGTCATATATAATAAAAACATAAAGAATAAGGACATAAAAATCTACCTTAAAAAGTATAAAACATTGATTAAAAAATTAAACAGGTGTTAACAAATGAAGAGACAGCCAATGTTCCTAGATTCAAAGAAATAATATCATTAAAATGCTCATACCATTGAAGCAATCTCTATCAAAACTCTTATGTCATTTTTCACAGAAAGAAATAATCCAAAAATCCACATGGAACCACAAAAGATCTCAAATAACCACAGAACTTTTGAGAAAGGACAAAGTTAGAGCCTCATGCTGTTTGATTTCACACCATACTACAAGGCCATAATGATCAAAAGAGAATGGTATCAGCACAAAAATAGACACATATGAGCAGAACAGAATGGAGTAAGCTTACCCATGTATTTTGAACTAATATTTGACAAGAGTCCCAAGAATATACAATGGAAAACGATAGTTTCATCAGTAGATCTTGGTGGGAAAATTTGACATTCACACGCAAAAAATCAAAATGTGATCTTTCCTTTTTATACTGTACACGAATAGTAACTCAACATGTGAGGAGCTTGAATGATTCAATACCAAAATAACAGAAAACATTCAAATGGGCACAGAACCTTAACAGACCTTTTTCTAAACAAGACATATAAATTAGCGATATATACACTAGAAAAAATTATCAATATCATTAATTACCAGGAAAATGCACATCAGATGCACAGGGAAATGGTGCCTCTGTTCTGTTAGTTCCGCTGTGATAACAAGACAAGTGCTAGCAAGCACCGCCAAAGGTGTGGACGGAAGGGATGCCTCGGTCCCACTGGGGAGACGTGGAAGGTCCTGCTCAGCAGCTCCTGCAGGCTCACCTGCAGGGCTCTTCCCAAGGAGAGGCACTGCAACAAGAACCAGGAAAACAGCTTTTCCACTGGAGCTGGTCTTGCTGCTGACACTGAAAATGTAGGACCCTGTCAGATGCTCCTGTCCAATCACTGGGTTGTTTGTTTCTAAATGGCAGGAGTGAGAAACTCTTGGCATGAGCTTGGCCCCCGGAGCCAGAAGGCCTGAGTTTACCATTCATGCCCATTAAAATGCACATGAACTTGGTGAGCTGTTTTACCTTCTTGCATTTCAATTCAATTTCTACAACTGTAAACTGGAGCAAAAGTAATGCCTCATGCAGATTTATGGGGAGATTTACATCTGAAGGCAGGAGGTCCAGGCACAGTGTCCGCATTCAGGAAGCTGAATAATAGTTTATCAGTAATTTAGTTTATCAAACAATGATGGTGATTATCAAACATTCTCCTACCCTTCCCTTTCTCTCTCCCTTAACACCTGCCTCCTTACACAAACACTGAGAGAACCCACTGGTAGCTGAGCACCCTGCATTTCCGTGAACACTGTAGACATGGGTGATTGCTATGGTACCAAATTATGTGCAGACAGAGGAGCTCAGCATCTGTCCCTGACTCTGCTTGGGCACCCTAGGCACAGTGGATCCTGGAGGCAACAGGATTCCTCTGTATCTACCAGTGGTGATGGTGAGAGAGGGAGCAGTATTGTCGTGAAGGCAAGCGCTATTCCAGATGAAGGCTCTTACTTCTAGATGCGGGACAATGTGGCAGCAGCCAGAGGGAGCCAAGTCTGGATTTACTAAGGTCATTAGGTCCTCTCCCTCCCTGTTCTCTTAACCTCCACACTCTGCCTTCTCCCCATTCCTTAGAACTTCCTTAGAATTTCTCTCCATTCCCCATTCTGGTTGGAATTTTCATGCCAACCAGAAAGCAGCAGAGGAGAGAGTCACTAGCCAGAGGCCCCACTTTGGTGAAAATAGACTTTTCTGTATCATTAGCTGATTAAATGAGATAAATTTCAATACAGCATATTTACTTTCATCTCTGTCACCCCTTGGAGGAAAATTTGAAAGAAAAGAAACAAAACTATTAGCAAATTAAACGTTTGGCAATGCAACATGCTGTCTTAAACAGAAAATTTTAGCATTTTAAATAAGAAAATGAATATGAATGTTTTAAATGAAGATCTAATTTTCCTTTGGTATTTCCATTTTCACTTTTTATTAGCTACAGTCTGTTATTATTCTAGTTATGTTAATTTGGACCCATCTAGCTTGCATAGATAATGTCAAGGGCTTTCCGTAGTGTGGAGAAGAGATCTTGTGAGGGACCCTGCCCCAACCACCACATCGTACAGGCATTTGTAGATGACTGTCCAGTAGGGGCCAAGGGTTATGTATATCTTCAACAAATGTCTACTGAGAAAGTACTGTGGCAGGCACCATTTCAGCTATCAAAGATACAAATAAAATGTTTGAACTTTGTCCAGGAGCTTAGTTCCTACTACAGATATGTGAATTAATTATCAGAACGGCACAGGACAGGCCATGCTGGAATGTCCTCCCTGTACTGGATTGGTCTCAGAAAGAGTCCTAGAATCACGCCCAGGCTAAAAGGAACCATCTCCAAGGAGCTGATGATGGATGAACGAGTTGATTGGGAAGGAAAGTTTCTGGAATTAAAGAATAACAGGGTATAAAAGTTTTGATTTTTAAATTAATAGATAACTGGCAGAATCTGATCTAGCCTCTCCTTGCTTTTCAACAAGCAACTTATTAAAATGTTACAAATTATTATACTCTAGGTATACTCATTAAAAAGATTCTGAGGGAATTTTCATTAATCAGAGACCAGACGTGGCCTTATGGCCAAAATAAGTTGAGAATATTGGAAGAAAGCAGGGTTTTTTTCCTCCTCTCCCGGGCTCCTATCTCTGAAGGCAAACTGAAGACATTCATGGCACTAAGTGAACCTTTCCCATCGCGCTGATTCTCATCCTATCTTCTGTTCAGGCCATGAGCTTACTGCCTAACAAAGAAACCAACCTCAGTGTGTAAATTCACTTTTTCTCCATGTGGGTTTGTGAAAATAATAATGTAGCTGCTGAACACTTCAATAGGACATTTACTGTGTTTCAGGTAAAGAGCACTTGCTAAATTAGGAAGACCACCAGCAACTAGGTTTGAGCCAGGGTGAGTTTCACATGTAGGCATGCTCAGCACAGTGTTCCCAACCTTACCACTGGCCGTAGTAACAGATTTACAACTTAGTTCTTGAGGTTCAGTTCAGCTAGAGTTTGCACTGGGAAGTCACATACAGAATGTTAGATGTTGATTCCAGAAACCACGACTTATTTCTTAGTTTGGGTCAGCTTAACAGTTGCATGCAGTTGTTCAAAAATTATTTCTTAAGCTCCACTTCCTGCCAGGCACTGTTCTGTATTCTAGCAGATATCAGTACGAAGACAGTTTGGGCTGTCTGCACACTGATAGTTTCAGGAGACCTGGGAAACTGTGCATCCTAATGCAACAGAGCCCTGACTTGTCAGGCCAGTTGCTTGTCAGCTCTATTGTTCCTCAAAAGTAAAGATGAATTCAACTTTTGTTGGCCTTCGGGAAATGGGAAAAGTTTGGAACTGGTCATTGCTGTTGCAAGAATGACAAGTGTATCAAGTGGATGAGAGGAAAGAAGTTCAGGTCACCAGCAGATGGAGAGTTTAAGCACGGTGCTGCCTACTTAAAACCTCATTACAATAACTACACAGATTACAAATCCGCACCCAGTGATGACAAAATGTTTTTAAGTTTTGAGATTCCATTTTCTTGTTACATGTTAATGTAAACTTGCAATAATTTTATGCATTGATACACTCCTCCATATTTCGTCTGTAACATTCATGAATACATATTTAAGCCTGATGTGGTGGCACATGCCTGCAATTCTTGCATTCAGAAAGTTGCGGCAGGAAGATTTTGAATTTGAAGGCAAATACATAGCAAGATCTTGTCTCCAAAATGAATCAATTAGTAGAACTTTAAAGATAAATAATTCCATAGTTTTTTAAGAAGCCAAATCTCAGGACCAGGAATAAAGAGCAGTCTCTGAGGAAGAGAACTGATCCTTGAAGCTTGTGCTGGAGCCGGGCAGTTAGGGTGCTGATCATAGTCAGTGTCAAGTCTAGTATTGTAATTCTGAAACCATGGCTTTAAATATAGGACAATGAGACAAGATCTCTCTCTCTCTCCCTCTCTCTCTCTCTCTCTCTCTCTCTCTCTC